AAATTGCCCTGTGCCTTTGGCTGCCCTTCAGCCTCTGTCTTGTATTTTTAGCTTGCAGTCTCTTTAGTGGAAGAATTGTCTCTTCTTACTATATTTGTAGCACATCGAGCACTATGGATGGATCTGTGGTTACATCCACTCCTCCTCTGGTCTGTAGTAAAAAGTAAATATTCAAAAGCTATTCTTTAATAGTGATTAATGAAGACCTGTATTTCTGAGCACATACATGGCAAGGCTTCCTTGTTTAAGGGAATTTCCTTGAGCTGCCTTCTGGCTTGGATGTCTTTGTCGCACAACAGGTGCTTCAAATCACTAATCTCCTGCAGTCCAAGCTGGTATTTATTACTGTTCAATGTCAGATCCTCTTACCTGGTAAAGCAGAGCATACCACAAAGCCTGCAAATTGTGTTGGTGAGCATATTTAATTATGTATCATCAGATTACCTATAATTAGCTCCATCTCGACTAGATCTTTGGAGATCTTCAGTGGGAGGCTAATATCTGCTTCAGGGACTGAAACGGCCCTCCAGGGAAGATGGGAGCCCAGTTGCGAAGTATTGCTGGAATAGGTTTGAGCCTTTGAAGTTCAGTTTCAAGTTGTTTAAAGTTTCATATTTTCAAGTCTAGCTTTGACTTCCTAGAGCTGGTCTAATGGGTAAATACAAATATCTCAGGGCTTTATGCTAGCCCTGTGCATCTGTACACAATTACTTCCTTTGTATTGTACTGCCAAAGCTTGCCAATTGGGATGGGGCTTTCCCTGCCCAGCACTAGACGTCAGTGGTTTGCCTATATTTGGGCTAGCCTTCTCAAGCTAATTTTGTGCTCAGTTCAGAGAAGGAGGCTCCTTCAGAGGCTGTTAGGACGATGCATCTGAATGTTCGAGTCATGTACTTTGAGATCAGATGAACTGTGCCCTAGAAATGAATGTTTCTTTCCAGACTGAGGTACAGATATAGATGCCAAAGCTTAGCTGGATGAAACTCACCCAGTACATTTGGCCTTCACTCTAGGTCAGCTTTTTATTAGCCTCTCAGTAATCTCTCAGTATTAGTAGGACTAAGTAGGACTTAGGTCGATTTTTCTACATTTTAGGAGGTGCAGAGAAAGTAGATAGAAAGCAGGGAGTGGCAAATCATTTGCATAACTTGTTTGGACCTAGGTGTCCATTCCAGTTTTGCAATATTAATGCTTTAAAGCAAACAAAAATCCACCAAAACAAGCAAACAAACAAAAAACCTAAAATAATCATCCCTTCTGAGTGTACCAAAGCAACGCCTGTACTTATGGGCTGTTTGGTCCCTTTTAGATCTAGCACAGGCCAGGTAAAGAGAATCACAGCTCCCTTCGGGCTACAGCTATGGTTACAATACTGTGTTTACAACATATGCAGTATTATCCCAGATGATTACCCTCCTCTAATTTAAGAACCCACAATGTTTTTCTTTGTTGTAACTTCAGACTTTCTCACCTGATTAGCACCAAATCTATTCCTCTCATCTGAATATCTACTAATCGTACCATTAGCAGCAACTGGATTTCCCCGAGTAATATAATGATCAAATTTATTTTAGAGGTGCATTTGAAAAAGACTGAAAATTGAATTTGCTGTTCTGGAGGTATCTACATACTTCTCCCAAAACTGACAACGCTGCATCAGGATCACTTTTGTGAGTTGAAAAGTAGGAATAAGGAGATACAACTGAGGATGAGAATGAAGGCCAAGAATACAGAAATACAGTCTGGAAAGCTAAACTGAGATATATTTACGAGGTTGCATAAATGCAAAAAGAGAAGATTCCATAATGAAAATGTAAACTAAAGAAAAAAGTTGGAAATTCACTATCTAACAGGGAAACAGATCAGATAGCAGATGATAAGAAAGTACAATTATTCAAGGCTTCCAAATGAAAGCTAGTTACGTCCAAAAGTTTAGTAAATGAATTCCATGTTTATGGTAGGAGAAACAGAAAGAACAGGTTGAAGAATACTTTAATGCATATGTACAGAGAGAACCAGAGTTTAAAAAATCTGCATTAGAATATTCAGTGAATTAGCAAAAACACTCAGTGAATTGTTGGAATTGTTATCTGGGGTCATTGAAAATGGAAAGGCACAACACACTTCAGCCTTCTCCACATTATTCATGAGCAGATTTTCATCTGCACTGAATAGTGAAGAGTGAAACTATTTCTTCCTTCCTCTTATTCATGCATAGATTTCTTTCTTACTGCCTATTATGGTCCTTGCAGTTTGAATCTTAATCATTATACATATCCAGGGGCTGAAATGGTAATTTTGAAGACCTGCTGGGAATATTTAGACATGCTGGTGTAAAAATGTGGGATGTGGGAACTCCTTGTAGCCTTCTTTCTGCCCCACTTCCTCTCTGTGGAAACTGCTGGTCTGAAGCATGGCACAGCAGCAACAACCGGCTGATCCCATTTACTGTGCAGATACATATCTACTGCAGTAATTACTGTTACATTTATGTCGAATGCTTAGAGATTTTCGTTCTTCCCATGTATGATCCATGTAGGCCTGGCTGTTAAGGGAACTGAAACCATTTCATGCATAATGAGCGAGTTGGAAGTGAATTTCCAGTTTTGCGCCATGGCTGCTGTAGTTCTGATCCTCACAGGACCCTTCAGCACCAGCAAGATTCACCTGAAGGAAGAGAACTGATCAGCTGAACAAATGCTGAAGGGCCAGGTCTTGAATTTTAAACAATATTATCTACTTATGCTTTTCTGCCCCAAAACAGCCCTGCACAGCTGAGCGTACTGGATGTACTGTCATGTGTATGTGCAGTGCTGTCGCTATCTAAAGAGAACAGAAACAAGTTAGTATGCACTCACAGATTTGTCCAAAGATTTCTTAAAGAGAGAACTGCAACGCATGCCTACTCAGAAATATTATAGGGTGACCTGAAAGATACATTTTGGTGTGTGATCTTCTATCTCAAGATCTTTCTCAAGATGCACTATGCCAGAGAGGATGTTGCACAGTGTGCAGCCTAGCCAAGGGTCCTGGCGTGCTTTGGAGAATGAAAGCAGGAAGTATCTGAATTACATCTCTCCTGAAGCAGAATGACATCACTGTCAAAGTGAGCTGATCCTCCAACTCCATAAGGCAATGCTGCAATATTTGTAGGCCAACATCATTTTTCAGCCAGTGATTGGGTCAAAAATACTTCTCATTTTGGATGAAACCTGATTTGAATTGCAAGAAATATTCCCATAAAGGCTAACTTTATGTGAAACTTGCCATCTTTCACACAGAAATACCTTACCAATGCAAAACACTATTAAAACCTGTTAAGAATCTTTTAGAGTTGGTTGGCTTATAGATGTGACTGCAACATGTTAAAGTTAGTGTATGGAATTGATCTTAAAACTCATCTTGATTGCAATTGAAATAGCCACAAGTATTTTTTCAGATGGAGATATGAGATGTGGAGACTGTCGCTTCCAGAAAGCATTGGAATAGGTGAACTTTGCAAAACTGTCTAGCATTGTTGCCATCAATTCCCACCCGAGGCCTTTGATTTTTCAACTAAGCTCAAACTGTCTAGAGTAAAAATAGTAGCTTATTAAATATGTGCTGAAAACTCCTTTCATTGCACTGCTGCAATAGTGCTGCTGCAGAAAGTGTCTTGGGCATCTGAAATTTCACGGCATTTTCTTATTGTGTATTTTTTCCCTCCATGCCTTTATTTGTCACAGGTTTTCTGTCATGAGGATTTTGTCTAGACATCTCCAACATATTGTCATGATTCCAGAACAAAGAATAATAACTAAAAATTGATTTAAAAACGAAATGACTAAAAAAAATTACTGATAACGAGACTCACTGAGCACAAATACGCATTGACATCAACAAAATGATGGGAGACAGGAATGCACTCTGTTAGAAGGCTGGTACGAGATGAAATATTTAGGTAAAACTGGAAAAATAGATGTCTTAAAGAAAAAGATATCAACACACTGAGCACATATTTTTCATTGCCAAACATTGTCCAAACCCATTATTACACTTGAGCAATTAAGCCCTGCTTATTTCTCTTGGCTACTGAGGGTGTGAAGCTGTAAGGATTGCAGGGGCAATGTGGTGGGTGTTTGTTAAACAAGTGTCAGTGGATCAGACATGTCTCTGTCAGAAATTGCCATTCAGCAGTGTAAGGGCCTCTCTAAATAACAATTGTCTTTCCCAACATCCTACCAGGTAGGTAAGCATTTGTCCATTTCAGAGATAACAATAATTATAAACATGTTAATGCTTTATGGCTGTATGGTATCACATGGGAGTCATAAATTGTATAAATAAGAACATAATTCCCATATTGTGTCAAAGCAGCTGCATAGAGGTTATGGACTAAGGGGTGTATGAGGCATTAGCCAGCAATGGTTCCTTTACAGGAGAACCTACAGGAGTCAGACAGTCATCAGCCTGAACTTAATATCACTCATGGCAGGTGTTCACCACACCTTTGTCACATGCAGAAACCTCACAGCTGGCTTCAGTAAACCAACAAGATCATATTCATATAAAATGTATCCGAGGGACAGCTTCTTGATGCATGTAAACAAGTACATTTTGCTTCCAATTAATTTCATGTGTAAGTCTGTATTAAAGCATGTTCTGCTATTCTAACTTTGAAAACCTAAAATAGACTTTTAGAAGTCTCATCCTGAAACATATTTATCTTGACAGCCATAGCTTAAGAGCATTTGAGAAGAAGCTGTGATGAATTAAACACCAGTTCATTACAACTCTTGGTTTATTTCCAAGAAAGCATCCAGTTTGGGAATTCTTTATGACATTTTTGGTAGCACTAATGTTTTGGGAATGGGGCTACATGTTAATTTATGTAGAAATGGTTGCTTAGCATTTTCTATTGATCAACTGCTTGTGAAGCCAGTGTAATGATGTGCTCTGCTTCAATCTTCTGGCCTGAGATGACCCATATAAGCTCTCCACCCTATTTGGGTGTTGTAAGAATAGCTCTATATTCTTGTATATTCAGGCACAGTAATGGGAGCCATATAAATGCCTCACCAAGGCAGATAAAATAGCAGGAGGCAGAGATAATCCCTGGCATGTCTCCTGGGTACCTCCCCTCTACATATGAATCATGTTTCATCCAGGCAGATCTGATTTATGCCCCTATCTATGACCAAACATTTGGCAGCACCAGTCAGATGTGGTAAGACACTGTCTATTTTGTCTTTTTATACAGTGCTCGGGCAGAGGGAGGGGTGGGAAATTCATGGTTTGCAGGTCTCCTGCAATAGGCAAAGTGAATTGAATTGCTTGGGGTAGAGCAGCTTAATTTTTCCATTATTTATTTTATTTATTTTTGGAATTGTGACCTGCTTTACAGTCATCTTTTTTTTGTGTATTCCATTATTGTTACTTTTTAATCAAAGTTGTATTGTTACTTTTTAATCCAGGAAGGAAAATCCAGTTAGAAATAAATCTATGGAATGGTATCTATCTGCTAGTTCCAAGCAATACAAATGGGATACTGTAGATGACAAACAACTCTGGAGCAACCTGTACAAAGAAGCATTAAAAAAATGTAGTGAGGAAGTTTAAAAGGAATTCAGAAGATAGTAAGTAAATCCTTCATGAAATTTTCCCAGATTTCTCTGTATTCATAGATACTTAGTTTGTATGCAGCAGTATATAGAGATAAAATGGCACTTTGCAAATAATAGTGGTGTGATTTTTGCTTGGGAGGAAAGAAGTCTATATGCCATTATACTGTCCTCCAAACTGTAGGTGGTAGAAACCACTTAGGAAAGTATTTCATTAAGAAAAAATAATAAAATTATGTTCCTGAGTGACATAATTTTAGTGTTTTCAAGCATGGCTGACTTGGGTGTAAACTGCAGCAAAACAGATCTGAGAGAACACCTTGTTCAAGAGGAGCATCATTTGATGATTAATCTGCTTTAAAGGGCTTTGACAAATGGAGTTTAGTTTTGTTGAAGGAAACAATACTCCTGTACTAGATCTGAGAAAGCTGCAAGGCCCCGGCACCACCAAGACAGGCTCACATACCAAACTTGAAGCATGTGAACAGCAAGTGGAAGAATGGGAGCATGGGAGGAGCGAGGCTCAAGAGACCACAGTGCACAACAATATGTTTGCTAATGATCTGTTTGCTTTAGAGCAAAAGTTTATTATTGCAGTCAATAAAGATATGAGTTGAATTGCACACACATTTTGTGTCAGTGTTGGCCAAAGTTTGTATTATCAGGGTTTTAAAGGCAAAAGTTTTAAGATGAAGTACAACTTTTTTGCAGACTGTTCATAAAGGCTTGCAAATGGACTATCTGCTTATGAGCCACTGAAATTCGGAGCATCTCTTGAGATGCATTTAACATGGAAAAAGACTTCCTGCAGGTAGAATTTGCCTTCTGGCACTGCTTTGGTTGTTACTCAAGATCCTGTCTGTGCCATGTTGGTGTTTGTGTTAAGTTGTGCAACTGCTTCTTAATGCCTGTTACGAAAGGATGCATAGATTACAGCTTCGTGTGGTATCCTGCACAAATCACCACTGATAATGTGAGCATGGTTACAAAGGTTACTCTCAGTGGAATTAATTTTACACTCATTAATATCATCTCTACATAAGCCAAATGCTTCATTAATACAGAAGGCTGATAGAAGTTAAAAGAGACCTCGGGAAGCATGCAGCTGTAGTCATCCTACAACATGGTACACGTGATGAAATTCTGTTTAGGAGTTTAACCTATGGCTTTTGTGCTGCCATGATTTTCCCCAAGGGTCTCATGCTAAATTGGCTAAAACACAGTAACATATAGACACCAGAAAAGACACCAGAAGTCAAGTTACAAGGTGGGTTTGCTTGTTTGTTTGTTTGTTTGGGAGGAGGTGCATTTTATACATCACCCAATGTGTTAGCTTTTTTTCTTGTATTTAATCTGATTTTATTTAGGCCAAGCTGGTATTTGTACTGATGAAAGAGAGTCTGAAGATGTCTTGGAAGTTGCACTAAAGACAGGAGTTAGCCTGGAATGGTGAAGATTGAAGACACTTGAAATTAGGGGGAGAATTTAGTTTAAGAAAAGCAAAACAAGTATTTAAATCTAAATCAGAAGTACGCTAAAAGGATTGTGATTGCAATGTTGCCAGCTATTAAAACACTTAATTTTTTTCCATTAAGATGTCTGAATTATGAATTTGAAGCCTAATAGCAGACCCCAAAAGTTAGATTTAAGGCATTTCTTCACTGGAGTGCCCTGTCAGCACATATAATCTGGTGTGGTCCTCTGCAAAGGCACACTTTGCTTTGCATGGAACTTTTTCAATTCTGAACATCAGCTGGCTGTGTGAATATAAGATGTGGCACACCTGTATTCAGAAACCATCCTATATAGGTGTCTCCTGTAGAGAAAGATGGAATAGAGAAGGGGAGAGAGTGTGTTGTGCTACTGACCGCAAATTTACAAAATGGCATTCAGGTTCTTTGATCATTCATTGTTCTACTTCCAGATTTTGCAAGTACAGAGATACAGATAACTTTCTCTTCAGATCAATATGACCTGGGCTATGTGAAATTTAACAAGGCCCAGGTTGGAAAATAAGTCATGTTTCAAAATATGTTGGCTTTAATTTTGAGGGTTTGAGGGTTAATTGTGAACAGATAACTATGCTACAGGTTGAAATATTGTTACAGTATGGTACCTAAGATATTTATAGCTGCAACTTGTGTCCTTAGTGTAAAAACAAAAAAGATGAGATTTTACTCCATCTTTCATAATTCTGGGATTACTAATGGTGCATCCTGGCCCAGACGCACTGATGATCTACCAGAGGAGCTAAAAATGAACAAGGAATGTCCAAAAATGTCTGGATGATCCCATGATGTAGGCTGGAGCAGAGGCTGCTTTTTTTTTTTGCCCAAAAATTCTCTTGGAAAGCTGTTCCAGAAATTACTTTTTAACTGTGTAGAAGCCTCTTCCAGTTTGTGATCTGGCCAGTGCTTACTCATTTTCTCAGTTGTGCCAACGTTGCCTCATAGTTCACAGAAGCGTTCTTCCCTGTCTACTGTTTTCCCGGAGGAATTTCTAGAAAGAAGCCTCCTTCTCCATCACTGCTGCTTTAGAGTTGATCACCATAGAGTTAGCCCTGCTCTGTACCTGTTACTGTGGAAAGTCATCTGCTTAGAAGAATGGCAGCTGCACTGGACATGGTACTGTAGATAAAGTTTTATACCTTCCCCAGTAATGTCACTTTTCAAATAATGCAGGAATATATTCTGGTTGTGTTGGAAATACTGTGGGAAATACTTTCTCACGTGGCACCACATTGGTGGCTTACACTCATGGTGTGGTCAACTTAAACCCCAAGGTGGCTTGCTTTTTTTAGTTGGTTGGTTGGTTGGTTTTTGCCATTTCTAACTGATGGCAATGAAAACTTGTAGGCAATTTATGTCAGTTTTTGGTGCACTCTTGCATTTCATCCATTTTCTATTGTTCTGGTCACTATGAACATCCAGTTTTTCCTGTGTAACATTTTCATCTCCATTTTATTGGCAGTGCTTCCCAGTAGTTTTTCTTGTTGTTGTTCTTTAATTCATTAACTTGATTATCACATTTTAAACATATGCATGTAAGAAATGGTGAATGTAGCAATCTGCAAAAACAAATCTGAGAGGTGAAAATGCTCAGAAAGTTCTTTCATGAGAAAAGCTGGAAAAAGCTTGAGTGGAGGAGCTCAGTTTTTCTGCAAGATGCTGGGGTAACTCTCACTACATGTGAACAAAAACCCTCCAAAACCTAATTCTGTTTTACCTCTGCTTTTGAGAGAAACAAGAGAAAAGAGCAGTAACAATAAACTATGTATATATGGTCCTAAATCTGGCAGTCCTGTGGAGTGACTTGATCCTAACCCCACAAACAGCTTGATGGAACCACCCTGTAATGCTGCACGCCATATAATTTTCCTGAAGCAATGGCTGTTCATGTACAAATACAAAGCTGGAACGTATGTAATGTCCTTTCATAAAGTGCAAAGGTGAGAATTGCAAAAACATCATCTATTTGCAAGAGAAAATACTATTTTCAAGAACTTGCTATTCCAAGAACAGTCTAGGATATATGCATAAAAGATCTGTTCTGTCACAGAAGTATAAGGAGCGTGGAAAATTATTAGTTTATGCTTCAAACAGTTAAAAATAAACACACATACGCAGACAAAAAAAATCACTCTCCAACCTAAGCAGAATTTCATCCTGCTGTGAGCTGAATATCTGTTATTTAATCACTGAAAAGTTCCAGAACTTTAACAAGGATATTTGCTGCAGTTCCCAGATTCAAGAGACACATAAGTGGGAGTAGGAAAAAAAAGCTTTTGTTTGGGAAACACGCTGTGGGAAAATTGCTCAACGTGATTTGAGTGTCAGAATTGAAATGTAACAACTGGTATAGCCAGATTAGTCTAAAGAAAAAACCAAAGGCTTTTTGAAATAAAATTCCTTTTGTCAGGGTACTTAGTCAGTTTTGTGGCACTGAAACAGAAAGTATAGCTTATCTTTTGTTTATGGTCTACTTAAGTAATCACATAAAAAAATGCAAAGTAATAGATATATATGTGATAAACCGAAGCCTAGCGATCTTGTATTTTTTTTGGTGAGACTGATGTTAAAAAAAAAAAGTCTGAACAATTATGGGAAGTTTTAGTTCTTATTTTGCAGAAGCAAAACCAGCAAACCCATTTTGTTGCCTGGGTAAATTGGGTGGGGGTTTGTGAGGAGCCTGCATTTGGGAGATGGCTCCATTCATTGCAGGTAATCAAACAAGAGATGGGAAAATACTGGAGTTGTGACACCTTCATTGGAATATGGAATCCTAGAATGTCCGAGTTAGAAGGAACCTACAGGATCACTGTGTAAGGTCAGACCTCTCTAGGTGTTTGCAAAAGACATCCCAGCAATTCTGATAGTGTCACACCAAGCATTTGTGCCTTTCACAGCAGAAGTATTAAGCCTCTTCCAGCAGCCACAGAGCAGCACCCACAACTTGCACCTTGCTGGTGCAGTCCCACTGCCTCTCCCAGACCTTGTGATGTGTGAACAATCTGGGGATTGTGTCCAATACCAGCTCCATGCTGGGGGACACTAATACCCCTACTAAAGTGAAGGAGTGAGACATGGTGTATTTGAAACCTCGTGTAATAATCTGTTGTACAGGTTTTTCTGTACTGAAGACACATCTGTGTTTATGACTTCCAATATCCACATTCCTGGGGGTTGAAAGATGTGGAAAGTGTTTCTAAAGTCGACAGCTGCAGAACAGAGCCAACCTGAGCAGTGAAAATCACCTCCTCAAGAGATACTGATGAAAAGCTAGTCTGACATTTCATGATAATTAGTGGTTGTGTTATTCTTATAGCAATTTGCCAGCCCTCAAGGATGAGTCACAGTGAGTTTGATAAGATCACAATTTTGTGATTTATTTATGCTATGTCTTCTTTTCCCCCCCAAAAATGGTCCATGCTCCCCTCAACTCTCCGATTTATTTCCATTTCTTTGTTGTTTCTTTGGAGGGATAGAAAGCAGAACTGCGTCCTTGGAAAGGCATTGAATGGAGCTGGATTCTATGATCCTTATGGGTACCTTCCACCTTAGGATATTCTATCATTCTGTGAAATGAGAGGCAACTGACCTTCTCCTGGACTTCTGTGGAGATCAGGCAACAAATAAAAGTCCTGTGGGCTTGATATAAAGCTGATAGTGGAGCTTGAAATACCTGCAAACACAAAACTCTATTTATCCTTTTTATAGCCAATGTCTTTCACACATACTTAATGACTTAGAAATGCATATATTTTTTTAATTAATCCCATAGTATTTAGGCCAATTTATAACAAACTAGTGTTTCATTTTTGTTGTTTTTCAGATAAAGTCAACTCTTAAATACACCCAACTTTGCAAATATTCTCAACAAACAGAAACAGAGAACTGAACTACTTTTTAAAAAATGCACCCCTTATTTATCATAGGTACAGGAAAGTTTGTACTGTTTTGCTAGAAAACTGCTTAAGGTCTGGGGGGAAGGAGGGGAATCTTACTCCAAATTCTGCCACTTAGCATCCCTAAATTAAAAATGCTGGCAAATTCATTTGGACACTTAAGATTTTCTGAACTGTATGCAATACAAGTATGTGTGTTATTGCTTGATAAATGAATGGTGCTATGTTGTCTGTAAGTTGAAAACTTAGTTATACTGGTTTTAATCCAACAATGCTTTCTGGTAGAACAAAAACCATTTTTGCAATGACACGAGTTACAAAATCGAGGGAAAAGCAGGGAGCACCTTGGGCTGAAACGCCTTTATCTTTTCAAGTAGCAAATATGATATTTGAATGAGAAGAAATTACAGAAACACAATGTGCTGTATTACACAGGAGACAGCCACTGTACTCTTAATGAATTTTGTACTGGTTCTCAAGATAAGGGAGACGAAGTAGATGAGAAGAAATCATTTGTCCTGAAAGGAGATATAAAGTATAGCCAAGCCACTTCTACATACACTCTTATCAATCTATTTCATGGCCATTTGGCAGTCTCAAATGCTCTCAGTATATTTTATACCAAAGAAAATGCTGCTGACACTGAGTCCTGTGACTGCCAAATTGCAAATTCATTATTGTTCACAGTCCCGTGAGGTCAAGCTCGGTCACTGCAAATAAAGGATCTTTGTCTGTATCTGTTCTCCCTCCTCATGCAGTTTTTGGTTTCCTAATTTTTGTAGCGTTCCCTTGGGCTGAAAGTTTCTTTTTAAAGAGGATGCAGTGTACTCTTTTGTAAAGATGTCTCCGCTCTAGGAGTGACATCATGGGAATTGCTGAAAGCGAGCTGGGAGCACGGAGCAGGGGTAGCCACCACGTACAAAGCAGCTCCCTCTGCCCTACACCCCCTCCTCCCTACAGCATCTTCTAGCAAACAGGTGCTTTGCTGCACTCCGTTGGATGCTTCGTGAGGAATGTGAACATAGGAAAAACTGATCATTAATTGACAAAACATGAACCCTTTCGACTCGTTCTCATTTGCAGGCTGCCATGCACGGGGTGGTATGTAGCTTATTCACAGAGTGCCAGGGGTCTGCTGGTTTGCCATCAAATGCAAATTCCCTCGCTGGCCTCACTGGCAGAGAAACACCTCAGTGTAAGAAGTTTAAAAAGATGCACTGCAAAACTCAGGCATGCTCCCGCTCCCACTGAGATCAGTGGCAAGCCCACATCGACTTCAATCCAAGCCAGGTAGGGTCCCTGTTTTCTGGAAGCGAGACCTAGTAGTATTTAAGTTTTCTGGCACACATACAGCCCTCAAAGATTGTTCCCTCAGGGCATTCCAATCTTTTCCTCATTTCCCTGATTCCATGGCAACACAACATCAGTACCAAGCACAGAATACTGAATGAGATTTTACCACTAAGCCTGAGGATTTATACAAGTGTATCCTGCAAAAGGATCTTGCTGAACTGCAATTGCCATTGAACTAATTCTTTATCCTTTTCAGATGAGTGACAAAACTATCTCTGGATTTATATTACTATAAGCCAAGAATTTGCTAAGGTTAGAAAAACAAAAGCACTGCTTTAAAATCATACCAGAAACAACCTTTTTTTTTTAAATTACAATCACTATGTGTGAGTAAAACACTGCATCTATTTACTACTCCTTTCAAATCAGCCTAGAGAACTGCCTGAGCAGCTTTCTCATAAACACTAGCATATGTTCTCCAAACTAGTATAAAATGATGATAAAACCAGTATTGTTTTACTTACATCAAACAAATAACCATTTTTGCAACATAAAAAAAAGTGTGCAATGGAACAACAAGTTAAAAGATCTGTATTCACTCCATCTGTTTGGAGGGATGTGATGTAGACCAGCACTTCACTCTCCATAGCTGGGAGCTTACTCTGAGTTACAACACAGCACGCTGAAACTAAACGCACTGTTTGATCTCATATTTTGACAAGTGGAAACTGTGCAGAAAGGGAGAAAATGAAAGCAATTCTATACCTAGAGAAGGTAAAATTGTGTGTAAGTGATACTAAAAGTCCTTTACAACGGAAAGTACCTATTAGTAGAGTCCCAAGTAAAAATACAAATGCAGTGAAGCAATAACATGATTAAATGATGCTAATTAGAATTTTAACCTTTACATTTAATGCATTTTCTTCAACTCAGTATTTCTTGCCATCTCTGTCTCACTCGATTTTCTTGCAATCCATTTGCTGAATCATTTCCTCCAATGTGATTTTTAGATCAGCTTTGCCTGTTCAGGCACAGCTCCGGGTTTCCCCATGGCCACGTGGTCTCATCCAAGATGCTACGATCAGGGTGAGGGCTGCAGGTTACATCAGGATGTTGGCTGCCACTCTGATGAGCTCCTTTTGCAAAAACAGATACAAAAACAGGCAGCATAGCACTGAATTGCCCTTTCAATACTGTTCAGCGTTCTTTCTTTCAATGTGTGCTTTTCCCACCTAGGACAAAATCCCCCCAGGACCCAGTATGGGCTGCAAAGCAGTTACAAATTCATTTAGCTTCCACAGACACAACAGAAAGCAGACTCTGCTCTTTCTTCCTCATTGACTTCCACTAAAGTAGCTCATAAAACGTTGGTGCAAAGTCAAATGCTTGGTTATGAGGCTGGTCAGTGAGAAGTTGGCAATTCAGAAGTGGCCACAAAACGCGACCTTTGGAAGACCAAAGCTTGGAAGTGGGTGTCTGGCACTGTTTGAACTGGCTCTCCTTCATGAGAACTGACACAGACACTAATCAGATCTGGAATTCTTGGCCTAGATGATGAGAAAACTGGGAGAAAACTCCAGAATGTGAATGTGCTGTAAGAAATACAATTAGGGACTGTCCTTTCTCTATACAAAATACAAGATCTTAGGAAATGGTGCTTTTCTGTATGCTGTTCACAAGCACTGCTCTGTATGTTATGCAGAAATACAATCTTCTCACGAGCTGTGTGTTTCAATAGATCACATTAATAAAGCATGATGTGAAAAGCAGTTGTAAACTCCAAAGCCTGCCTTACAACAAACAGAGCACCTTTGCTTGCTAAAGAAGTCCTAAATCTCTTCTGGGCCGTAAGCTGCAGAATGCACTTAGGAAAGCATCAGCTCTTTTGTTTTGAAAAGAATACTAAATATTCTCCTGGATATGGGAGAAACAGGAAAATGGGGAAGTTTATTAACGCATGTAGTTCGGGTTTCTGTCAAGTCTCATGCACTTTCAGCGTGACAAGCATGGGTAGTTCTTGTTTGTAGTAAGGTCAAAATGGCATCTAGAATCATAGAATCATAGAATGGCTTGGGTTGCAGGGACCCCACTGATCATCACACTCCAACCCCCCTGCCACAGGCAGGGCCACCAACTTCCAGATCTGGCACTGGACCAGGATGCCCAGGGCCCCATCCAACCTGGGTTTGAACACCTCCTGTGATGGGGCATCCACAGCTCTCTGGGCAGCCTGTTCCAGCACCTCACCACTCTCTCTGTAAAGAAATTACCCCTGACATCCAACCTTCCCCCCTTGATCTTGAAGCACTTGCTGTTCCACATCTAGCTAGATACAAAATCCAGCCAATGAGACATTTGCCCTTTCCCTCAACTCTGATCATATCTTCAACCCTTCTTTCTTACCAAGTTCAAACTCCTCCTCTCCAGAACACAGCCAATTCCTCCTGACTTATGTTTCTACACTAATGAGCAGCACGCTCATCCCCATGTGGCTTTTTGCTTCAGCTGGCCCTCTCTGCTCACTCCCT